AAAAATTGTAAATGAATGTTCATAGCAGCATTTTTCATAGTAGACAAAAAGTGGAAACAACCTAAATGTTCAAAAACTTATGAATGGATAAACAAAGTGTAGTATATCTGTACAATGATATAGTATTTGGCCATAAAAAGGAATGAAATGCCGTATCTATATATTGAAGGTGGCAATAAAGAAGAATGAAGCTCTGATATATGCTAAAACCTGGTTCAACCTTGAAAACATTATTCTAAGTAAAAGAAGCCAGTCACAAAAGAAAATACACATTGTATGACTCCATTTGTACGAAATGTCCAGAGCAGACAAATCTTTAGATATAGAAAGTAGATTAGTGGTTGTACAGGGCTGGGAGGGGCTTGAGGGAATGGAGAATGACTGATAAAAGGTGCAGGTATTTTGGGGAGAATATCACATGTTCTAAAATTAATTGTGGTGATAAGTGCACAATTCTGTGAATACGCTAAAGACCATTGAACTGTACACTTTAACTGGCGAATTGCGAATTGTATCTCAATATAACTTTTACAAAATATATGTGTGTGTGTATATATTATTTATATATATATACATATATACATATAATGACAGGGTAAACATTCACGTTTCACAGTTTAGAAGTCCAAGCCCCAATACCATGGGGCTGGCCGAATCTCTGTTCCTGATGGTCACTGAGAGAGCCAGCCTTACCACTCACACTTGCCCTGGAAAAGGCAGCCTGGCTGACAGCAACGTCACATTGGCCTTTGCTCTGTTCCCATGGGAGATGCACTGGGATTTCTTGCCATCTGGCCTGAACTTCATTTCAGGGGGTATACTGAGGCCAGGTCCTGGTGCAGTGGCCTTAAGGGTCATAGGAAGCAGGTGGGATACAAGCTGGGCTCCCTGACCAGGAGTTGGGCTGTCCTCGTGAGCCAGCAGGCCCCCACCTGAACCCCACACCTGGGTGTGTGGAAATGGGGCTCAGTTATCTACGCAACAGAGGGTGGTGTGTAGTCCACCTCCCGCTCTGGTCTCACGCAGCCCATCCCTGCCGACAGAAACACTGGGTGAAACTCTAAAGGCATCTCGGCAACAGGGCTAAGTACTGCTGTTGTACACTGAGTTTCCTGGTGCTCATTTGAGTTTCATTTTCATCTAAAATGCAGCTGTGAATAACCTCTAATTAGAACAAGGAGGATGAAAATGGAATTTTTCTTTACTCTGACAGTGATGTGAATCTGGTTGCCAAGGTGACTAGTTCACCACACGCAAGGAAGAGAAGAGAAGATCAGGCAGTAATGATCACTTCTTGAGCTTGATTTGTGATTAGAGATGAGTTGACTAAAATCTGTGTTTCTAAATGAGGAGCCATGGCTGGTCTACTGAAGGAAAATGAAAAGCAAGACGTAAATGAGGACAGAACAAACTGGTTTCACATGAAATAGATACAGGCAATTACTTCTCAGGATTCTATCCCCCTACTTCTCGAAGGAAAATGAAAAGCAAGACGTAAATGAGGACAGAACAACTGGTTTCACATGAAATAGATACAGGCAATTACTTCTCAGGATTCTATCCCCCTACTTCTGAGACATTTATACATGTTATTATGGGCAATTTTATCATTTATATCTACCTTTAGAAAGAGTTACGAGGTTTTTTTTTTTAAAGCTTTCCTGTAAGTCAGATAATTGTTCTTTTAATTTTAATGTCATCTTTAAAATAAAAGATTTTAATAATATCACTTGTGTCAGACTATCTTAGGTTCAAATTAAAATAAAAATAAGCCAATTCAGAATGATTACATTTCAGGCCTCAAACTAGGTAGAGCAACTGATATTTATATTAAAAGTTGGTGAAACCCAAAGGAATGCTCTGATGATTGGGATAGAAAAGATCCCTGGGATACACAAAAGTTTTAGGATGGGAAGTAGCGGTGGGCTTAGCCTGTAGGTCCTCTGGATTCTGTGGCAGGGCTCAGAGCTTCGATCTGACGGGGTTGTGGTTGGGCATAAGAGCCTGGTCTGTGGACCAGTGAAGAGGAACACATCTTCCCCCCATGTCTCCTCTGTCCTTCCTGGCATTTCTAGCTTAAAGGGCAAGGTATAATCTGGGTAGACTTTCAGTTCCGGTGCAGTCTCTCTGGCCTCACCACTACGGCTCCGGTAATGTCTAAAGTCTTCGGCAGAGAGAAAAAATTAAGACAAGGACAGGGCTTTTTTATTGCTCTGATTTCCTCCCACGGCCCCACCCGATGACTGCTCTGACAGTGTATACAGGTAAACATTCTCAGTGAAGCTGACATAGCTGGGAAAGGAAAAAGTACTCCCCAAATCACAAAGTATTACACCCTTTTACCTCCTATTCTCTTTTCTTCCTAACTAGCCTTATTGAAGAAATGGAAGAGGTTACGAGGACTCTAGCACTGGCAGCCTCAACATTTGGACTGCTTACCATGGGTCCTGCATTTTTATGAAGCGAGGGGTAGTTGAGAGACTTCAACACTCTGCTGAGGAAATGAGATTTTGCTCTGAATTGGGGTTGGCATATTTGAAAGAACCCCTGATGCAGGATGGAAGGTGAGTCCTGCAGACTCTGGCCCCAGCATTCCCACCCCAAGCGCCGGCCATACCTGAGAGCAGCAGCCAGAGCTCCCCCCGCATGCTCTCCGGGATGCCCTTCAGCACCAGCTCTCGTGTTTTTTCTGTGCGGTACATGCAGATCCCTTGCCCATACTCGGCAAAGTGGATCTTCCAGGCTTGCTCTTTCAAAAACTCTTTGGCCTGAAAGAGATAATGAAACATTATACATCCGAGAGTACCTCACAGGTGGTAAGAAGAAGTGTGATGGAACGTGAGAACATTTTCCCTGCTGTGGTCATGTTCAGGACAGGACTCATGAGAGCACAGAACATAGGTTTTCTGGAGCTCTTTCCCAATTTTACACATCTGTCATAGCCTGCCGTCTGCCCTGGAGCTTTTTGGCCCAGAGTCAGAATCTCACTTACCTAAGATGGGTCCGTAGGATGCCAATTATGTTTACGGTTTTATGTTTACACCGTCAAATGAAAGTGAGTTACTGTTTTTTAAATGTGGGCTGAGAAATCGTGTCCTTTTTTATTGGTTGATTTAAACAAATAGTTAAAAACAACACAAAACAAAAAAAGGTCACTCATACCCTCTGTAACTCTTATCTCCTTCTATGAAGCCATTCTGAAGCCTAATAACATAGTTAGACAAAATCTGCTTTACTTATAGGAAAATCTCTATTTGCATATTATGAGTTTACTTCTATTAAAACTATTTTTAATGATATTGTTCTTATATAGAAAGTTTCAGGGAAAAGCAAGAGGCACCCACCAGTTTTGGGTTGAATTCCTCAGGAGACCGCCGCCGATACATGGTCATAAGGGTCTGCGTGGCTGTGGGAGCGCTGTTTCCATTCAGGTTAAACTGGCGCTCTCCATCAGCCTCGGAGCTCGTGCTTCTCTGGGGGCTGGAGGACACAAGGCTGCTGGGCCGAGAATACACCTGCCAATGCAGAGAACAACAAGATATTGGAAAACATTTGCACAAGGATAAGACAGGTGCCTGGGTCTTAGGCTACAGAGCTTCAATGCTCAAAATAGGTTTCCTCTGTATTTTAGATGCATTTTTTTGCATCAAAAATGCATTTGTTAGCCACTTCTCTGATTTGCATGTATGCAAAGCATGCCATGGTTGAATCAGGAGCTTCTGGGACAGTCTCATCTCTCTAGTTTCTGGTGCCTATAAATGCTCACATAAGCTTGGAGCAGGTGGACAGGGACAGGGATGTTATATGTGAGCTTACCATCTTTTTTTTTTTTTCCTTTTTGTCTTTTTTTTTTTTTTTTTACTGACCGGTAACGGGATCGCACCCCTCGGTGTCGTGCCCGTACCAGGGACAGGCAACAGGATCGCAACCCTCGGTGTTGCGCCCGCACCGCGCTCAGCCAGTGAGTGGGAACCGGTCTCCACATGGGATCCAAACCCTCGGCAGGAGCCCAAGCAGCGCACTCTCCAGTGCGCCACCGGGCCGGCCTGAGCTTACCATCTTTAAAACATGTTTTATCTGCCAGTAACTTGCTCCGTCACATTAGATAGTTACATATCTTCTCGGGGCTCCAGTTTCACTGGACATCAGTCCAGGGAAATTCCCAGGAACCCAATGTGCATTTTATCATAATAAAATCATGATAATGATGATGTATTTCGGGCTTAAGACTTTATTTAGTGACCTCTATACCATTCCCAACATTGTCACTAGATGGACCAGAGTCACTTGCTATGTAATCAGGACAAATTACTTAATAATATCTTTAACTGGAAAGTAAAAGGGTTAGATCAGATGATCTATAACATTCCTTCCAGCTCTATGATCCCAAATACAAATTCCTTAAGATCTAAACAAAATATTGCTGAGATATTGCTCTGGGCATCAGAGTAGGTTGTTTACCTTAGCACAGCTGCAAAGCTTAAAGATCAAGCAAAATGGACAAGGAAGCAAACACTTTTGGGCAGAGTAATTAAGACAAAACCAAAACACCTTCAGGTGTCTTCCACAGACCTCATCATCTGAACTGTTGTAGCTTCCTGCAAACTCTTTGTCAGAGTATATTTTGGAAGTTGTCTGTTGCAGGAAGTCTGAGATCCTCTGCACTAGAAAGTCTCTATCTTTCAAATTGGCAAATAGAAAGGTCATCCTGTTCCTAGTGCTGATGGATAAAGGACTGGGGAGTACACTGGAGCTATCCGCCTTTTCTACAATTGTCACCTGAAAAGAAACATGAAACAAAGACCATTACTTTCTAGGATTGCCCAATAGCANCAAAATGGACAAGGAAGCAAACACTTTTGGGCAGAGTAATTAAGACAAAACCAAAACACCTTCAGGTGTCTTCCACAGACCTCATCATCTGAACTGTTGTAGCTTCCTGCAAACTCTTTGTCAGAGTATATTTTGGAAGTTGTCTGTTGCAGGAAGTCTGAGATCCTCTGCACTAGAAAGTCTCTATCTTTCAAATTGGCAAATAGAAAGGTCATCCTGTTCCTAGTGCTGATGGATAAAGGACTTGGGAGTACACTGGAGCTATCCGCCTTTTCTACAATTGTCACCTGAAAAGAAACATGAAACAAAGACCATTACTTTCTAGGATTGCCCAATAGCAACATACGAGCAGCACTAAAAAAGGAACATAGCACTTTTATTATTCTGTAGGAACCACCCATATTTTATTGAGGTAAAATTGAGATTCTTTGACTCTGTTTCAGTAAAATAGAACAGCTTATAACAAACCAAACTGGAGCTTAGACCAGAAACTGAAATCATCTTGCTGGTCTTTATAAACAGTGGTTCTAAACTGGAAGTGATTTTGCCCTTCAGGACACAGTTGGCAACATCTGGAAGCATTTTTAGTTGTCACAAGTGGAGGGTGCTACTGACATCTAGTAATAGAAACCAGGGATGCTGCCAAACATCCTGCAGTGCACAGGACAGCCCCACCTCCCAACAAAATCCCGCCCCAAATGTCAATAGCACCAAGGTTAAGAAAACCTGCTGCAAAGAAATTGTTTGATTTTCATTAAAATTTCATGGAGCCATAAGACAGAGAACTCCTAGCTGCTTCATCATCTGTAAGAGACAGAAAACGACCCCTGATACTGGTTCCTTTTACCAAGCTTAACATCGGGATGGTTTTCAAAGCACCACTAACCCATCGAATGTCTCCTTTAGTCTCCAGGGCTTTGCATCCTTCAACTCCTACCACTTCAAAGTTTTAAAGGCTCAATTACTGAATAGACATGATGTAAACAGCTTAACTGCAACCCTATCTGAACTAGCAGACTCGTGTGTGTGCGTGTGTGTGTGTGTGTGTGTGTGTGTGTGTGTGTGATGAAGTCCACCACATTGAGAAAAAAAGAAGGGAGACATCTAAACTGAAGACATATATAGGTGACTTAGAATTTTAATCACCTGTTAACTAGGATAATCATCAAGAACTTTTTTCTTTAGCACATTAGGAAAAAAAAAAAAAAATGTCCACGCAAGCACTAGATAAATGGTTCATTTCCAATACCTCTGACTATATACCTAAAGCTAAACTTCTTTTTCCCTCTTCATTTCTACTTGCAAGCAGTTTAGACAGGTTCAACTTTAATCTGCTCGTCAGCATTTTTCATGTGAAATATATTTCCTCCAAAGCAGAACTTTAAAACCTTTTTCCCCCCTTCAAGGCTAAGTAACCTATTGAAGTTGCCTAGAATGTTCCATGGCCCCAAGTGCCAAGTAGGTATGGCTGGGGTCCATAATGTGAAAAATGGCAGGACTTGACTTCTATTCACAGATTGACATATGAGTGTGTGTGTGTGTATAAAATTATAATACACGTATAATTTATATATAAGTATATTTATATTTTTAAAGAAATCCTCTGAGATACCTGCAGTTGCATATAAAGTCTTTTTTCTAATGCAAAAAAAAGCTGGTTAGCTCAGTTAGTTGGAGTGCAGTGCTGATAACAACAAGGTCAAAGGTTCAGACTCCCTTACTGGCCAGCCACCCCCAAAAAAGCTAGAAAAATGGAAAAAATAATCACCTTTTCATGAAAAGGATTTTCCCGTGATACTTAAGACATATGTTAAACAATGCTTATTTTTAAAAGATCCATACAGGCTCCTTTTCTCACATGAAATTTTTTTTTTTTTTTTTCGTGACCGGCAACGG